AGGAAGTGTGATGTGGTGGAGAGAATATTGGACCAGGTGACAGGGAACCCTGACAGATTATCACTGAATAGTCTAAGTGGTCCTGGGCAAGCCCCTTGCCCACTGAGCCTGAGTTTTCTCTTCCTTAAAGGGCAGCTCAGTCAGTTAAGTGTCTGCCTTCGAGGGGCTTGGGATCAAGCCACTCGTGGGTTGGGCTCCCTGCTGGGGAGGGGGGTGTCTGCTTTTCCCTCTCCTTCTGCCCCTTCTGCTCATGCTCTCTCTCTGTCTCTCTCTCAAATTAATAAATAAAATTTAAAAAAAATTTTTTTTAGAGGAGGGCATTGGGCTGGATTATCTATGAAATAATCGTATGAAAAGCCTGGACTTTAACAACCTTTCAGGATAAAAGAGTGACAGGGTGTCTCAGGAAACAGCCCTATGAATAAAGTTCAGGGGATGTGCACCGCCACTGGTTTACTTCTAGAACCCCCAGAAGGTATAGAAAATGCCAAATCTCCCGCCCTGGGTCACCTTGATCGGCCAATTCAAATTTCCTCCAAAAACCACGCGGGAGGCGACAGCAACCGAAACACTAAACTACCTCTGGTCCCTACCAGCTGGCGGGGGTTTCTTCCCTCCTTGGCTCGGCCTAGAAACTCATATTTTATTCATGAAAATTTGAGGCCCTGGGAGGCCTCGGCGTAAACAGGATGTAAATATTTGTGGGTGGTGGGGGAGAGGTGGTATTTGAGCAGGGGCTATCCTAAGCGGGGGACCTCTGGGGCGCTGCTTACTTGGGACCCGCCCACCTCTATCTCCTCTATAGGTTGGGTGTGGAGGGCATGTGTAGGCTGTACCCCTGATTGGAGACCGAGTTTGGGACTCCAGTACTTTCCAAGTGAGACGGGGTGTGCCTTAACCTTCTGGTGTCCCGCCCTCGACCATCCATCCCCCTGATCATCAGCTTTCCTTCATTCCGGCTTTCTCAGTTTGAGGCTTAGGACTGGCTTTCTGGCACTTGCAGGGGTGCGTGGCCCCCTCTCCAGCCCCTCACCTGCCCTACCTGCACCTGGACACCCTTTGTCTCAGCTGTGTGGGGTTCCGGCCACCCCCCAGGCTGTACCTTTGCTATCACTGGTTGCTCGTCCTGCAGTGAACTTACCTCTTTGAGCTTTGACTTGTCTCGGAGACCCCCTCCCCGTGTTTGCACGGACTACACCCTTTTCTGGAACCTGGGGCCGCCCCACCACTCGGGCTCCTGCTCGGTTCTCAGGGCCTGGCCCTGGGCGTCACTTCCTCCAAGAAACTGTCCCTGATGCTTCTCCTCCAGGCCTGGGCTCAGAGTGGCTCTCCTCCACCCAAGGCATCTGCCCTGCTGAGCTGAAGCCCTTCCTCATCTGCATCCCACACTCGGATAGGGCCCTGACTTTGGTCCTGTTCGCTAACTAAATACCTGTTGAATAGATGAACGAGTGCATGGATGAGTGGATGGATAAAGGCATGGCCCCATTACCACCTGTGTCCCTGGCCATTTGCCTCTTGCTGGAGTCCCCCACCCCCACCCCACCCCACAGCCTGTGGACTACATCCCCGCACCTAGGACACTTCCTGGGGCATAATAAGCCGCAGTCTTGGTGGAATCTTGCAAGGGTATCGAGGATTGCCAAAGTTATACCCTGCACGCCACCACCTTTGGTATGAGGCAAACATTTCGATCTGGGAGACACACCTTCTTGGAATGGACGCCCTCGGGGCTTCCCTGGAAGAATGCAGTGTGTGCACAAGCGCACCTGAGCGGGCATGCTCGGGCTAGGCTTCCCTTCGAAAGTTCCTGATGCCTTCTTCAGATAGTGAGACCCATGCTTGGCCATCTCTTAAATTTGGGGAAAAAAAATACACCCCCAAATTGGACCCAAGAGGAGCAACCTGTTTGCAGTGGAGGTGGTATTGAAATGGTGGGCGTGACCAATGTCCTGGGGAGATTGGTACAGAAAGAAAGGTCAAACTGCCTAGGTGAGGTTTTTAAAAATGCAGCGAGTCAACCCCTAATTGATCCTGTGTGGACATATAGTTTTTCTCAGTTATAGGGCTTCTTAGCTTAAAGTGGGCTCCCTGATCTAGCTGTCCAAATGTTCCATGCCACAGAGAAGCCAATAGGAAGCAAAAGAAGGAAAGAAAGAAAAAGTCCCACAGAGCCTCCCAAAGGGCCCTGGCCTAGCACTCACGTTTCTGCCAGGAGAGTCCCCACACCCCCAGGCACACTGCGGTCCCTGAGTCTATCCTTTTATCCGGGTCTTAGGGCAGAGGTTCATTCCTGCTGCGTGCCCAGGCCCCCAGACCTACATCAGAACCTCTGTGGTGGCCCCCCAGCCTCAGCGTTTGTGTCAAACCCTCCAGGTGATTCTGTGCAGCCAGGCTTGAGAACACTTGACCACTGCTTCCTGAGACCACATTTGTGTCCTGCTCCCAGCTCATACTGAGGTGGTTCTGCCGCACCTGACATAGCAAGACTTCAGAATAGTTTTTACTTCAGGGGCAAGCCCGGCTGGCTCAGTCAGTGGAATGTGCGACTCTTGATTTCAGGGTTGTGAGTTCGAGCCCCATGTTGGGCATAGAGATGACCTAAAAATAAAATCTGAGGGGCGCCTGGGTGGCTCAGTCAGTTAAGCGTCTGCCTTCAACTCAGGTCATGATCTTGGGGTCCTGGGATCGAGCCCCGTGTTTGGCTCCCTGCTCCGCGGGGAATCTGCTTCTCCCTCTTCCTGTGCCCCTTCCCCCCGTCATGCTCCCTATCTCTTTCTCAAATCAATAAATAAAATCTTTTTTTTTAAAGATTTTATTTATTTATCTGTTAGAGAGAGCGTGGGCGAGAGAGAGTGAGCCAGAGAGAGTGAGCAAGGGTACAAGCAGGGGGAGCTGCAGGCAGAGGGAGAAGCAGGCTCCCTGCTGAGCAAGGAGCCTGAGGCGGGACTCGATTCCAGGGCACTGGGATCACGACCTGAGCCGAAGGCAGACGCTTAACTGACTGAGCCATCCAGGCATCCCAATAAATAAAATCTTTAAATTAAATTAAAAACTTAAAACGAAAGTGAAAATTAAAGCAGTAATGATATACACATACATGTTATATGTTACATATACTATGTGTGTTACAGGTAATGTGCATACGTGTATATAGATTTGTACACCACATTGATAATCAAGCAGAAATAGGCACTCCTGGGGAGTCTGGCTGGCTCCATCGGTGGAGCGTGCAATTCTTTTTTTTTTTTTTTAAGATTTTATTTATTTATTTCTTCTTCTTCTTTTTTTTTTTAATTTATTTATTTGACAGAGAGAGACACAGCGAGAGAGGGAACACAAGCAGGGGGAGTGGGAGAGGGAGAAGCAGGCTTCCCGTGGAGCAGGGAGCCCGATGCGGGGCTCGATCCCAGGACCCTGGGACCATGACCTGAGCTGAAGGCAGACGCTTAACGACTGAGCCACCCAGGCGCCCCAAGATTTTATTTATTTATTTGACAGAGAGAGAGACAGCAAGAGAGGGAACACAAGCAGGGGGAGTGGGAGAGGGAGAAGCAGGCTTCCCGCGGAGGAGGGAGCCTGATGCGGGGCTCAATCCCAGGACCCTGGGACCATGACCTGAGCCAAAGGCAGACACTCAACGACTGAGCCACCCAGGCGCCCAAATAATATAAAATCTGAAAAAATAGGGGCGCTTGGGTGGCTTGGTTGGTCGGGCGACTGCCTTCGGCTCAGGTCATGATCCCGGAGTCCTAGGATCGAGTCCTGCATCGGGCTCCCTGCTCAGCGGGGAGTCTGCTTCTCCCTCTGACCCTCTTCCCTCTCATGCTCTCTGTCTCTCATTTTCTGTCTCAAATAAATAAATAAAATCTTAAAAAAAAAAACTTAAAAAATAGAAATCGGCACTCCTATCTCGCACCAGCCACTGCCAGAGGGATAACTGGACAGAACTGGAATGAGCTGGCTGCTCTGGTCCCCCCCATCCCTCAGAGATGAAGAAACAGCCACAGGAAGGCCAGAGTGGACATGCTGACGGAGAACAGGAAGAAGGGCCAGCTTGGATGAATAAACAACCGGAACAAAATTAGAAGTAAGGAATCCAGACAGCCTAGTGGTCCAGGCTCCACAGTGTGGGGCAAACAGTCCATCAGTGCTGCTCGTAGCCTGGGGATCAAGCCCACATTGCAGCACACAGATTCCATGGCCCCAAAGCGCTAGGAAAAATTCTGTACCTTTTGTTTTTCCCCAAGAAGGCAAGGAAGTGTGTGGAAGCAGCTTTCAAAGTTTCCCAATTGTTAAAATTTAACAAAATAGTAAAATGAAAAACTTTGCATACAGAAGGCACTTAACCGGAACGTGTGCTTCCATAGAACAACCTGTCCTCTGAGGGTGTTATTAGAGCATTGTTACTCCAAATTTGCTTACAGCAGGCAGGCTGTCCTTGAAATCACCAGCCTTACCCACCCTAAAATGCCACCTTGGGAGGAAAAGTCAAGGTCTTTTAAAAGATGCATCTCAGGGTCAGGTGTAGATATCTGCCCCCGCCCCTCAAAGTCCAGGGGACCAGACTGGAGCTTTCCTGCTGAGGGGTGTAAACATTTAAAAATCAAGAGTCCTGGGGCGCCTGGGTGACTCAGATGGTTAAGCGTCTGCCTTCGGCTCAGGTCATCCCAGGGTTGTGAGATCAAGCCCCATATCGGGCTCCTGGCTCAGCGGGGAACCTGCTTCTCCCTCCCCCTCTGCCTCTCTCCCTGCTCATGCTCTCTCTCTCTCTCTCTGTATCTCAAATGAATAAATAAAATCTTTAAAAAAAAAAATCAAGAGTCCTCTCTGGACACGTTTGCTCAGGTGTGGCGGATTTCCTTTGAAGACCTAGCTCACAGGGCATCTCCCTGGGGGGCCTGGGCCACCCCATCAGGTCTCCAGCTGTCGCCTGAGCTTGGGGGGACACGTGTACACCTTCCAGGATGCCCGGACCATGAAGCTCCTGTCACACTCACTTTGCATGAGCCGCTGTGGTCAGAAGAGCGCTCACACCGGGCTGGTCCATCGTGGACTTTCCACACGAGAGTCGCGTCCTGGCTCCACAGTGAGGACTATCATTGTCAAAGGGGCTGCCTTCTCTGGGATGCCTGTAGAGAGAGGCCAGCCGGAGGTTACCCTGTGACCTTGTTAGCCAGAATGACAGGAGCAAGTCACACACTGACACACACCAGACTTGGGGGGAGACCCCAGGAAAGGCAGAGACGGACACAGAGGGAGGACCTTTCAGGTAGTAGGTGGGCCTCCTCTGTGTCCTCCTTCATGGACAGAGTGACCTTAACCAGGGCCCCCAGGAAGCTTCTGGAGAGGCCAAGATGTCCTCAGAGGGGCAGAATGGGAGCAGGTGCTCAGACACAGTGAGGAGCGCTTTGGGTCAGACCACCGGGCTAGATCCAGGCTCCATCTCCCACTCACCAAAAGACCTGGGGTACCAGGTGCCTCAGTTTCCCCGTTTGTAACGGGAAGGACAATAGCCTCAGAGAGGGTTGTATGGAGTCAGCGTAACGCCCTTTACTCAGGCCAATTGCTAGTTACTATAACTGAACCTCAGTGGGGCCTGAAGACTGTCACCGGCCCCACACACACTGCAAGGACTGCAGGGACAGCAGGCGGAGAGACAGCTGTCCAAGGTGGAAGGAGCAAGCCCGGGTGGGGAGCTGGGACGCTTGAGTGGCCATTTGTGGCCCAGCCTCACAGAATCTCAGCGGCCCGGGGTTTTCTCATCTGTAATAATAATAGTACTTGACCATGGAGTAGCACTTAACTTTTTATTCTTCTTTTAAAGATTTTTTATTTATTTGAGAGAGAGAAAGAGCATGAACGGGGAGAGGGGCAGAGGGAGAGGGACAAGCAGACCCCCCATTGAGCAGGGAGCCTGACAGACACAGGGCTCGATCCCAGGACCCCGAAATCATGACCTGAGCCGAAGGCAGATGCTTAACCTACTGAGCCACCCAGGCGCCCCTACATGTATTTATTTATTTATTTATTCATATTATTCTTAAATAATCTCGACACCCAACATGGGGCTTGAACTCACAACCCTGAGATCAAGAGTTGCATGCCCTTCTGACGGAGCCAGCCAGGCGCCCTTTGATGATACTTTTAAAGGTCTTTCTAGATACAGTATAATTAAAATCTCTTAAACATTTTAAACTACATTTATAAATTTAATATGTTCGATTTCCTTTAAGTATCTCAGTTTTCTGGGGCGCCTGGGTGGCTCAGTTGGTTAAGCAACTGCCTTCGGCTCAGGTCATGATTCCCAGGGTCCTGGGATCGAGCCCCGCATCGGGATCCCTGCTCGGCGGGAAGCCTGCTTCTCCCTCTCCCACTCCCCCTGCTTGGGTTCCCTCTCTCTCTCTCTGTCAATTAAATAAATAAAATCTTAAAAAAAAAAAAGTATCTCAGTTTTCTGACAAACCTAAGTTCTTAAATGTATCTTACAAATCTATTACACTTATATGTTGAATCTCAAGTTCCCTTAAATATTCTAATATTATTTATAAGTTTAGTAAGATTTTAACCTAAAATCAAAAGTTTAACTTAATTCAATTTTACATTTTATTTTATTTTTAAAGATTTTATTTACTCGAGGGAGAGAGAGAGGGAGCACACGTGAGCACAGTGGGGGGTGGGGAGAAGCAGAGGCAGAGGGACAAGCAGACTCCATGATGAGCAGGGAGCATGATTCGAGGCTCCATCCCACGACCCTGAGACCTCGACCTAAGCTAAAACCAAGAGTCAGGCGCTTAACCTACTGAGCCACCCAGGTACCCCTCAATTTTCCATTTTAAATGATAACCATAAAGTTCTCTTGGTAGACACTAGGATGCCAAGTTCTCTTAAGCATTTCAAATCCTTAAAATACCAAATATGTAACAATTATACGTGAGTGCTGTAGAAAAAGACTAATGTAAAATTTAGATTTACCTCATCATGTCTGTATTTCTGAAACTCCCTGGGATTATTCATTTATTCAAAAAGTATTTATCAGGCACCTGGGTGGCTCAGTTGTTAAGCGTCTGCCTTCGGCTCAGGTCATGGTCCCAGGGTCCTGGGATCGAGCCCCGCATCGGGCTCCCTGCTCAGCGGGAAGCCTGCTTCTCCCTCTCCCGCTCCCCCTGCTTGTGTTCCCTCTCTAGCTGTGTCTCTCTGTCAAATAAATAAATAAAATCTTTAAAAAATATATTTATCAATGACACCTGAAACTAAAGGAACATTGTATCAACTATACTCAAAAAAAAACTTATTGCCAAAAATTATCTATCTATCTATCTATCTATCTATCTATCTATCTATCTATCTCCAAGTCTGCTAAATGCCTGGCATTGTTCAAGACACTGACAATGGCAGTGGTTAATATGGAGAAAATCCTTGCCATCATGAAACACACTCTAATGGGGGATGCAATACACAATACATATTTGATACATATTTGTCAACTAGAGTTATATGTTATAGAAGAAAAAGGAGAGCAGGGTAGGGAAAGGGACTGGTGGGAGGAAGGGCACAGGGAAGCCTCAATGAATAGATAACACGGAGAAGAGACCAGAATGAGGCAAGGGAGTAAGCCATGCGCACATCTGAGGGAAGAGCATTCTAGGCCAAGGGAATAGCAAGTGCAAAGGTCCTGAGGTAGGGATGTGCTAGGCCCTTCTCATTTATAGCAAGGAGGCCCTTGTGCCTGGAATAGTGTATGAGGGCAAGGGTGGTAGAAAGGGAGGTCAGGGAGATGGCCTTGTGGAGGTAAAACATATAAGGCCCTGTAGGGTTTGGGTTTTTCCCTCTATCTTGACGCTGATTATTCTGTGAGGATTTGTCTGGAGATCTACTTCGTAAGGTCATTCTACGGACCCTTATTAAATTGAAAATGCTCTTGCCTGGGACCCAGCAATTCCATTTCTATCTATGCTGCTAGAGAAATTATCTCAGAAACACAATGGAGGGACACCTGGGTGGCTCAGTCTGTTAAGTGTCTGAGTCTTGATTTCCGCTCAGGTCATGATCTCAGGGTTGTGAGCCTGCTTAAGATTCTCTCTCTCCCTCTGCCCCTCCCCACCCCTGCCTGCTTGCATGTGTTCTAAAAAAAAAAAAAAAGTACAAACGCATATAAAATATACAGGCTCAGGGCTCAGACCATCTAGTATAGATCCAGACTCCCCCCTACTTGCCAAAAGACCTTGAGGACAAAGCTTGACCTCTCTGCCTTGGGTTCCTCTTCTGTAAAGTGGGGGTAGAAGAGAGAAAAGGAAAGAATGGCAGAACTTTAGCAGTATCCATAATGTTTTCTTTTTAAAAAAGAGGCAAAATTTTAACATCTGTCTTGGTGGAAGAGTACATGAATGTTGATATTATTTTCAGTATGTTTCATATGTCTTATAATTTTAAATTTAGAGATTAAAAGATCACAAAACAAAACAAAGCCTTCAACACATACTTTTCTTTCTTTTTTTTATTAAGTTGTTTGTTTTAATTCCAATGTAGTGAACACAGTGTTATATTAGTTCCAGGTGCACAATATTGATTCAACAATTCTGTACATTACTCAGTGCTCATCATGATAAGCGACTCACACTTTTCTCTACAAGCACCCTTACCTCCCTCCACACCACTTACCACATGGCAACCAGAGACCTGAAACATAAACTAGGCCTTGTTGGGGCGCTTGCGTGGCTCAGTTGGTTGAGCACTCGACTCTTGGTTTCGGCTCAGGTCATGATCTCAGGGTCCTGGAATCGAGGTCCGAGGTCCGTGTTGGGCTCCGTGCTCAGCAGGGAGTCCGCTTGAGGCATCTCTCTCTCTCTCTCTGCCCTTACCCCTGCTCATGCACTCTCTTTCTCTCTCTCTCTAAAATAAATAAATTTTTAAACAAAACAAAAACTGGGCCTTGTTGCTTTTCCCTGTATCCTGCACAGTCTGGCCCCCACAGGCCTCCTTCCTCTCTAACCCTGATTCGCACTCACCCTGGATCCTCCAGCCACTGTGTGCTCGTCAGGCTCTGTCAGGCTTTGTCAGGCCACGGGGATGCAGGGGTGACCAGGATGGAGGGAGCTCCTGTTCTCAAAGGGCTGCTATTCTGGGGGGGAACACACAATAAACAAGGCAATAAATCCAGATAATTGTGAGTAAGGACAACACAGAAATAAACAGGTTCTTGAGAGAGAGCAATGGAAGACAGGGAGGGCATTGGGGGGCACCTTCCAGGCAAAGTCAATGGGCACCCAGCTCTCAGATTCAGGTTCAGATCTCAGGTCAAATGCTCCCTCCCCAGCAAAGCCCTTCCTGACCTCTCAGGTGGGGTGGTACCTTATTGATGCTAACCCAACAAGCATTCATTCTAACACTTAACCATGGTTATAATTAAATAAACATATGATTGGCTACTTGGCGTCTGTTTCCCTCCCTACAATTTAAGCTCCTTGAGGGTGGAAGCTTGCCTTGTCCACTCATCCCGTGCCCATCACGGTGGTTGCAGGCACTCAGTCAATATTTGTTAAAGATGGAAACCCAGAGTCGGGCTCTATGATTTCTACCAGATTCCAAATTCCACAAATGTAATCAGAGCAATTCCTGAGGACAAATGTTACCCAAATAACAAATCCTTATACTGTAAGTATGTTTTAGGATATATGCTTTTTCACTACATAATAAGCCTTTTTTTTTTTTTAAGATTTTATTTATTTATTTGACAGAGAGAGAGAGACACAGCGAGAGAGGGAACACAAGCAGGGGGAGTGGGCAGAGGGAGAAGCAGGCCTCCCGCGGAGCAGGGAGTCCGATGCGGGGCTCGATCCCAGGACCCTGGGATCATGACCTGAGCTGAAGGCGGACGCTTAACGACTGAGCCACCCTGGCGCCCCTACATAATAAGCCTTTTAATATTGAAAATGTTAATGAGAATGTTAGAAAAATTCTAAGGGTGATGGAACATGGCAGCGTCTGAGAGCAAACAATTATTTCAGTGGTAGTATCACCACTTTATTTATTTTTTATTTTTATTTTTTTAGGTTTGTTAATAACCATCACCAGGCTAACCCATTAGTATCACCACTTTAAAAAAAAAAAACAGCTGAGCGCCTGGGTGGCTCAGTCATTAAGTGTCTGCCTTCGGCTCAGGTCATGGTCCCAGGGTCCTGGGATCGAGCCCCGCATCGGGCTCCCTGCTCCGCGGGAAGCCTGCTTCTCCCTCTCCCACTCCCCCTGCTTGTGTTCCCTCTCTCGCTGTGCCTCTCTCTGTCAAATAAATAAATACAATCTTTAAAAAAACAAAAACAAAAAACAGCTATAATTCATCAAGAAACCCACTGGAAAACAACACATGAATTTTTAAAACTTCAGTGTAAGCACAGCAAACAGCATCAAGTAGGTTTGATATTCCGGGCCAGTGGAGGCTACCAGTGGATGGAAAGCAGGTGTCTCTGGTAGTCCTGGTCTTCAGAGGCCACCCCATTTTCAACTCCACAACGGCACTGTGACTTGAGAAATGGGATGCACTCTAGTGGTCAAAGTCAAGGTGTCATTCTAACCAAGATTTGTTGCCTGTCCCATCTGATAATTTGATTGGAATTCTCTGGCTTTTGGTAAAAGCTTTTTTTTTTTTTTTTTTTTAAGAGAGGGAGAAAGAGAGAGAGAGAGCAGGGAGAAGGGCAGAGGGAGAGAATCTCAAGCAGATTCCATGGTCAACACAGAGCCCGACACAGAGATCAATCTCATGACCCTGAGATCATGACCTGAGCTGAAACCAAGAGTCAGAGCCTTAACTGAATTAGCCACCCAGGTGCCCCGAGGATTTTTTTTTAAGATTTATTTATTTATTTATTTATTTAGTTAGTTAGTTATATGATAGTGACAGAGAGAGAGAGAGCACAAGCAGGGGGAGCAGCAGACAGAGGGAGAAACAGGCTTCCAGCTGAGCAGGGAGCCCAACACGGGGCTCGATCCCATGACCCCGGGATCATGACCCGAGCCAAAAGCAGATGCTTAATGACTGAGCCACCCAGGCATCCCAAGGATTTTGTTTTGTTTTCTCTCCTTTCCATGTTCTTCCTCTTTTGTATAACTAATTGCCCTTGTGAGGTGAGAGTCAGGGGGCTTAGCCTAGGGGCAGATTTGTTAGGAGAGAAGAGGAGGAATTCACTTTGGGTTGTCCTTGACATTTCCTTTGGTTTGTTCCTTGACCTGTGGTTTCCCCAACATACCTGGGGGCCCCCCAATGTGGCTGTTGTGTGGCTCTATAGGAATGGCTGCAGGTTTTAAGCTCTGAGCTCTCTCTGGGACCAACTCAAATAAGGCACAGAAGGCTCAATATAAAAAAGCCCTGTTATAAAAAAAAAAACAAGCCCTGTTACGAAGTTCTGCCCCAAAGGTCACCTCCTTCTCTGATCCTCCTGGCATTCCAAGTGCATCAGTGAACACAGAGTCCTGGGTGCACCAAGAGGCCTTCTGTAGAGTGGGATTTTGGGAAAAGAACCACAAAAGGGTTAAGAATTATATACTGTTTTCTGTATTTATTGAAAATACTTTGTTTTTAAGCTGTGTATGTGATGGAAAGGGGTGTGTGTATGTGATAGCTGACTATAAGGAAAATATTAATATTGCCACATGAAAAACATCCCAAGGGAAAACCAAGAAAAAGACATTTCCAGAAGAGTTTATGTTTCAAGAAAATTTGTATCTTCTCCTCCAGAGAAATAAAGGATCTGTGAACAGTGATTTTCAAAACACGCAAGACGGCTCTCTTAGTTCAAAGGAAAATGGAAGAAGGAGCGTCAACTTCAAGCATCCCCCCCCAACCCCAAATCATACAAAAGGGGAAAAGAAAACCACTGAGTAACTTCTGAACCTGGAGACTTTAGGAATTACCACCAGGAGAAGAAACTGCTTCAGAATTTGAGTCATTTGTGGTTCCTGCTCAACTGGCAGTAAGTTAAACAGAATGAGAAATCACGTGTTCCCGTCCAGTTCACAGGAGACAACTGTAAATTGTGCCCACTGCTTTGAGCTCACTAGCCTGGCTGCAGAACTAGGATGAGCACTTAGCAGACACGATCTCTGCGTCTAAGTGTGCAAGGGAAGGAACCAGGAATTAGGCGGCAGGCACCTCGTTCTCAAGGAGCTGACCGCTCAGGTTGGAAGATGACGCACACACCTTACACAAGAAAAATGAATATAACAGCAATACCGTCTTCTGCAATAAATATCCGTAATTGGGGAAAGAAACCTGAAATGTAAGGATGAAAAAAACTGAACACAATCACTTGCGATATAGATTTTGGAGCTCATGTTTACTTGAATGACTAATCAATTACCTGGAAGACGAGGTCTTCAACCTAAAATATATAGAGAATTTAACCGGTGATGGAAGGAAAACAGCCAATGGGGTTCTGAACCGTCCTCTGGTGAAAGCAACCCAGTTCCTCACAGCGGACCCAAACTGTTCTGGAAACATGGATCCCCACTGTTCATTAAAGACACTCAAATGGAGTATTTACAGCGCCCCAGGCCTTGTGCTAAGCAATAGGGATAGAGACTAACGGGTTCCAATTCTTACCTTCGATTTGGACATGGAAGCCAGTTTTTATCCCGAAATTATGATGCAATATGGTAAGTGCAATACAACAGAATTTTATACGAATTGCTTTGGCAGCCTGGTGGGGAATGAATCCTGGCTCCACCACTTACAACCTAAATGACATTGGACGAATGATTCAATCATTCTCAAGGCTGTTTCTACGGATAATCATGAGTATCTGCCTCAGGTCTTGTGCACAGTAAATGACAGTCATGGTTTATTATTTTTATTTATTATTCACCATTATTATGACATTTGGGCTATGCGAGGAAAGATTAGTTCAATAGGGAGAAAACGAGCCCAAAACAATGCTCAAAGCACTTGTCAATATGGAGTACCTATCTTTCTGGAACGAAACCGAGTCACATCTTCCAGAGGGACAGTAGCCTCCTCTGCCAAATCGGAGTAATCCCCACTCTACAGCATCGTGAGAAGTTCCTGACCGCAAGCACCAAGTTCCAGGGCGTAGGAGGTGCCCACCCCACGGGGGCCGGCGTTTCCACCCGGACACCTGAGCGGTCCGGACAACTGGGCACGGTCGGGTCCTAGATGTCACCGCCCAGACGCCAGTCCCTGTCCGAGTCCGCCGTCGGCCCCGCACCTGGGCGGCGGCGGGATGCTCCAAACCGTCCCCCGAGCTGCCCGGGCGCCGCCGCCGCTCCAGAGCCGCCGCGCCGAGAGGGCTTCCCACACAAATCACACAAAGACGAAAACCGTCCAACGTCCCTCCCTGGAGCGACCTGCCTTCTCGGAAGTCGATGCGGTCGGGTCTCGCTTTCCTCTCGCTGGCCCGGCTCCATGACAACCGGCGTTCCCCCAACCCCTGGCCAGGTCGGTGCCTTCTGCGCAGGCGCGAAAGGGAGCTGGCCCACCGCTTCCGCTTCCGCCCGGCGTCCCCCGGGTGCTAGGGGCGGGCTCTGCGTGATGGCGTCACGAGCCGGGGCCTCCCGCGCGGGAAGAGGCGGCGGGAGAATGGAGGTGCGGGAGAGCGGTGGTGGCGCGGGCGAGCGCGGGGCCCAGGACCCTGCCCCCGCCTCCAGCAAGGTCTCGGGCAGCGCCGGCCACTACGAGCTGCCGTGGTGAGGGCCCAGGCCATGAATGATGGGTGCTCTGGACGTGTGGGTGGGCGAGTTGGCGGGCCGTGTCCCGGGGACCCTAGGGGCGGGAGCTCGTTCTAGGGAGTCCTTAGCGGAGCAGGAAGCCTCGGGGTGGCATCGAGTAGATTAGTATTTGGAGAGGGCGAGGGACGCGCGTCGTTGACACCCCCCCGGGCTCAAGAGTGGCGGGTCTGAACTCTGGAAGCGGGATCATGGTCAGAACAGTGCTAATTCTGATCATAGCTGCCCCCTGTGACCACCCACTCGGCGCCTGGCGCTGTGCCTGAGGCTACTCTGATGGCGGGAAGCGTCGGATGCAGGTTCGGAACTCGGGGTTGTGTGCAGAAGGCGCATCCTGGGTATCTGAGAGGAGCTGGTGACATGGAAAGTCACCTGCCGCGGGCACAGGTGTGGTGTGGGCGATCCGCTCTGGTCCCACTCCCTCTGCGCGCGGTTATGGTTTATTCTCGGTCCTCCGTGCATGCCCATCCCTCCAGCCCACCCCTCTCCTGAGCTGATACCTAAATGGAGCGCAGTACGGCTTACTGGAACATCCACAGCAGCATTGTTCAGTCCCCCAGCCACTAGCCCCTTGAGTCCATTGACAGCCCTGGAAATGAGGCTGGTTCCAATTGAGTAGGGCTGTAAGTTTACAAAATACACCGGATTTCCAGGACTTAGTATAAAA